CATGCTGGCTGGGGAATTCTGGGAGTTGAAGTCCACCCATCTTAAAGTTGCCAAGGTTGAGAAACACTGATGTAGAGAGTAAGAAAGATGACCCTGATGGAGATATGCAGGCTCTCTTGCCTAGGTAAAAAGGGCTAAACCCTTTCGTAGGTCCAGAATGTCCAGATAATGTTTGGAAGCAGCTCAGACAGACAACTCCCTAATTTATTGAATTATAAGAAAGGGGAGGAGGTACAGCATAATCAGATTTGCAAGATGCTATTATTATAGCCCTACTCAATAAAAGTAGGTTTTGCCATCTTGTGGAGTTGATTTCATGGTCTGGTCTATCTAGTGGGGCTGAAAGATCAATATTCTCTTAAACATTTGTGTGTCAACTCTCATTTGGGGTTAGCTCTTTAAATCAGCTCCACAAACTGCAGCCAGACAATCCTGCCCCCCGAACTGCTCCAAAGATTTACGCTTATCTGTAACATCGAATGCACGAAAAGTTATTAAATCCATGGGGAGTAATCTAATTAACCGTATTCAATTAATGCTGTTTCATTTTAAGATATGTTTAAATGTATATAACATCCCAGCCCAATTTTTTGTAGGATACCCTCCCCAGTGCTACTCAAATCCCAAGTCTGGCCCTTGATCCCAAAACAGTTGTATACCTCTCAGGGGCATCCAAGGGGGAGAGGGCTAAAAAAAGTCAAGATGGCAACCACAACAACACAGTCAAAGGCCCACCCCTTTTTACATGTATCATACAAAAGGGGTGCATTTAAGTCAGGCAGTCACAGCTACCACCTTGACTTTTTTGAAACCTCCCCCCCCCATGGATGCCCCTGATGTCCTTCCTTGAAATAGTTAATGTTAATATATTTATATATTAATTATCAAGATCAAGGGAAGTGATAGTATCGCTCTACACTGCACTGGTGAGGCCACATTTGGAATACTGTGCCCAGTTCTGGTCGCCACAATACAGAAAAGATACTGAGGCCCTAGGAAGAGGGCAGAGAAGAGCAACAAAGATGATAAGAGGTCTGGAGGCTAAATCCTATGAAGAACAGCTAAAGAAACTAGGTACGCTTAGCTTAACAAAGAGAAGACTGAGGGGACACATGATCGCAGTTTTCCAGTACTTGAAGGGCTGCCACAGGGAATTGGGCGTCGATTTATTCTCCATGGCCTCTGAGGGTAGGACAAGAAGCAATGGGTGGAAATCTATCAGATGGAGATCCAACCTGGAAATAAGGAGGAATTTCCTGACAGTGAGAACTATTACACCATGGAACTTAGCTTGCCTCCTGGAGTTGTGAATGCTCCATTGCTGGAGGTTTTCAAGACAAGGTTGGACAACCATTTGTCCGAGATGATATGAGGACTCCTGCCTTGGGCGGGGGTTGGACTAGAAGACCTCCAAGGTCCCTTCCAACCCTATGATTCTAATACTCTCTGCTTCTGCTAGAGTAGGACAAACTGCCAATGAAGATTGCATTGGTAAGCTTTGGACTGCAGTCCCGTCTGTGAAGTGGCCCTCTAGATGTTAGCTAAAGGCCAACTACCAGGAGCTTCGATCAGCATCTTCAGTGCTGAGGAATGTCAAGAGTTGAAGTTTAGAATTATACATTTGTTCAGTACTGGGAGAAAGCTGCTGTCTTCCATGGGACTTACTTCTGAGTATACATGCCTCAGATCTAGGTAGGAATAGGGGTATGAACCCACTGAGAAGAACCTTTAACAGTAGAAATGACTTAAGGATAAAGATCAGTCCACATCTGCTCTTACGTGGGAGACAGATGCTGACAGAGAGAGGCAGATTTCGAGATAAGGGAGGATGGTTTTGTTCTCCTCTGCCAAGTTTATGTAAGATGCAGATAGTCCTCATTCCAGGTCTATCTCTCTCTGTGCTACATAAACCAGAGGAAAGATGACTCTCTGCCAACAGTTACACAACGAGAAAGATCTAGCTGAAGGCGACAGAAAATAGTTTTGTAGCCATGAAGGTACCTAAGGGAAGGAGTTACCCCCCATACAACTCATGGGGATCTGATTTCTTTAAATGAAGAATTAACTTTCTTATTTTCTTTGAGGAAATCATTCAACAATTAAAGAAAGGAAGGGAGAGTAAGCAGTAGCAGCATCTTTCTGTTAACACAAAGAGCTATTTCAGAACGGCTTCTGGGATTGCAGACAGTACGCATAAATTCAGAAACCCAGAATCATCAAGTTTCTAACCAAAAATCGCCTAGGGAACAGAAGGAACTGGTGAAGGCAATCACTGAACTGCTAACTGTAATCTCTGATAGACTGGCAACATGCTAGAAGACTGGAGGAGCACAAATGTTGCTCCTGGCTTCAAACTAAGAAAGGTGGAGGACTGGGGAAATTACAGACCTATAAACATGACATCTATGCTAGACGAGGATATTTGTGAGCATCTGGAGAGGAATGCAGCAATTAACAAGAGCCAGCACGGGTTTGTCACAAACAAGTTATGCTGGATTAATCTTCTTTCCTCTTCTGACATAATATTAGCTTAATAGGGAGAATGCTAGGGGCACAGTATACCTTGACTTCCGTAAAGCATTTAGCAAAGTGTCCCAGGATGCTCTGATTAATAAAATGGTAAAATATAGGCTAGAGGATCCAACTGATTCATAACTGGTTAATGCCCACACCCAGAGAGTAGACATAAATGGCTCCACATGAGATTGGAGCACATCAGATGTCTTAAGAGAAATGCCACAGATTCTGTCCTAGGTCTTGTGCTGTTCCAGTGTATTTGTTAATGCTCTGAATAATGAGATTAAAGGAATGATTATTTACAGATGACACAAAACTAGGAGTGGAATTGTTTGCCTTATGAAATGATATCCTCCTCTTCACTGGAAGCCCTCAGACAGAGGTAGAATTAGCAGGAAAAGGTTTAGCAGATTCTGCATCAAACATGGGGTTGAGTAGATGATCTCTGAGGATTTTTGGGGGGGGATGTCTTCATGTCAGTGTTGTCCCCGGCAACTTCCTGGACTAGTCCCTGCAATTTTCTTGGCAAAATTTTTGGAAGTGATTTGCCATTGCCTCCTTCTTGGAGCTGAGAGAGAGGGGCTGGCAAAATCACCCAGCTGGCTTCCATGCCCAAATCAGCACTAGAACTCACGGTCTCCCGGATTCTGGTCTGGTGCCTTAATCACTATACCAAACTGGCCGTTCTAAGGAATCTTTGAAATGGCGAATATTCCTTTTACAGAAGGAATGACGCTTTTGTATTAGATACGCGATTTGCCTCATTCCATTTCTTGTTTCTTAGTCATCGTTGCAGATTTTTAGTTTGGTGGTGTTATACTGTATACAATGTTGCCTATCTCTGTACAAATTAAGAAACAAAACACTCACTGGTGCTGGAGGTCCGGTTCAGGCCATGCCCCCATGGAGGTCAGCTGTTCTTCCAGCTGGATAATACGCAGACCGATGTAGCCCGAAGAACAAAGTAAGAGAACGACCCTATGGGATATGCAAAAATGTAAACAAATCATATTAAAAAGTCAGCATTGGGAAAAGAAGTGACATCTGAGGATATTCCTAGCTCAGCCCTGAAAGCTGTAGTAATGTGATGGAATGGAATTATGAAGGCCAAGCTCAGGGAGATAAACATTTTCTTAGCTCAC